GGTGATGTGTAAACCAATCACCAGTGATGGGGAAGTTCTCTCTCATTTTGGTGCAGATGACATTTTGGTTTATTTCAGTGAAAATGTTCATCTCTAGCTTCAGCCTTTTATTTTTATTTTATTTTGTAAAAATATATTTTTATTGATTTCAGAGAGGAAAGGAGAAGAAGAGAGAGATAGAAACATCAATGATGAGAATCATTGATCTGCTCCCTCCTGCATGTCCCACACTGGAGATTGAGCCCACAACCAGGGCATATGGCCTGACCTGGAATCGAGCTGTCACCTTCTGGCTCAGAGATCACTGCTCAACCACTGAGCCACACCAGCTGGCCTCTAGCTTCAGCCTTTTAAAAATAGCTGTTTTCTAAATAATAAAGAAGTGGGTATGTAATATTTATATGATTTTTGAAATACTTTCTGATTCTTCCCTTCTTCTTCACTATATGCCTGTTTACATTAAAATCCATAAAAGGAGACTGAGAAACTTTGAAGAATGAGGAAAATAAGCAGAATGTCTGAAAAGGGAAGTGCTTTAAAAATGGAAGTAATGAGTTCTTTCACATGGACAGTGAGGTGATTGCAAAGGGTAGGAGGTGGGTGGAGGTGGAAGAGGATATGGGGTGATAAATGGTAATGGGGAAAAAATAAAATAAGATCAAGTGATGAATAAAGTAATAGGGGTAATTTACTGTCCCCAGTGCTACAGAGAGGTGGGATCAAATGAAGACTGACCATTGGGTTGGACCCAATGAGACTGGAAAGATAGAAGCTGACATTCGACTGGAAAAATAAAGGTCATTGGATCCTAGTCAGAGCAGATTCAGTGGACTAGACTCCTGGGCACACAGGCCTTGCTAGAAAGGCTGAAGTAAAATAGAAGGTCTTATGCACAAGCAAAGAACTTGGCCTTAAACAGGAGTAGAATGAACACATAATGTAGTTTTAACAGTCTGAAATGAAATAAATGAATATAAATGCAGGTCAGTTCATGTATGTGGTGGTGGGAAGATGAGGAAATCTATTCAAAATGATTCTATTTCCCAAGTAAATAAGAGGCAACATCATCATGTGAAAGAGAGAATGAGAAGTGGATGTTGAAAATTTGAAAAGAGAATAATAATCACCCCAAAGAATAGAAGGATGAATTGACCAGGGAAATGTAGTCCTGACTACTGCTGAAGGTTGAGTAGAGATTCAGGTGGTGAGAAAGCAAAAAGGCCAAGTTAATGGATTAGTGATGTTTGTGGGAGGGATCAAGGAGTTGTTCCATTGGATGAATAAAGCAAGTTCACTGGGAAGATAGGAGGTTATAGCTGGAAGACATGAAGAAATCAGTAGTAAGTCATTGAGTGGGATTGGAAGTAATCTTTTACATGGTTATAGAAATCACCCAGAATGATGACATGAATGTTGATTGGTGAAGAGAAATATCAGAATCTAGTTCTGCAATGCATGAGGGATGGTGATAAGGAGATAGTTGACTTTAACAAAGAGAGAAATAAAGTGATATTGCCTATTGATTTGAGCTTCAAAAGTTATGCTGTTGGGGGAAAAGGGAAAGTAAATGTTCTAGAATATAAAGTTCAATGAGGGTACCTACTCTGGAGGTATCAAAGCTCAGTAATTAATATTATGGACTTGGAATCAAATTAACTTCTGCTACTTAGCAGATGTGGTGACCTTGGGTAAATAACTTAAGTTCTTGGCATCCCACTTCTCTCATCGCTTGTTAGGAATATTTGCTATCTCAGAATTGTTTTAAGAATTAAGTGAGTTTAATAGATGTAAATGCCTAACACATGGTAATTAATCAGTGAGTTTGGAAGTTACCCACTTTTAACCTGTGGTGAGAAGAGTATGGGAGGGAGAAACTCTGTCACATCTTAACAGTACTACAGGGTAAATTATGCCCCAGAAAGTAATCTGATTTGGGGTAGGGCAGTGGCCGGCAAACTGCAGCTCGGGAGCCACATGTGGCTCTTTGGCGCCTTGAGTGTGGCTCTTCCACAAAATACCGACTTCTGCGCATGGGCCATGAAGTTTCAATCGCACTGTACATGCGTGCCTGCACGTGGTATTTTGTGGAAGAGCCACACTCAAGGGGCCAAAGAGCCACATGGGGCTCGCGAGCCGCAGTTTGCTGACCACTGGCAGTAGGGCAAGTAAGATGTTCAGAGAGTATATTGAGGATGTGGAATATTTTGCCGATGGTCAACTCAGAGCCCATGGAGTCCACTGGTAGCTTTAGATACGTAGGAAGTTTGTGTTCACACTACATGGGGATAAGAATCCTGTGGTAATGGGTGAAATGGAAGCCTTTCATTACTGTGTGTGCTCAATAGCTTTATAACATGTTTTGGAATTAAATCAAAATTATAAGAAGTTTTAATTATGATTTAATTACAACCTCCTCAATTTGGTTTTTCAAGCAGTTGGTAGACATGGGGTAGTCATGACATAATATCATGGGCATTTAAAGTATAAACTGGCCTGAGAGATGGGGAATTCAGCAACAGGAGCCTCTTTCCTCTGTCAAAATACTGTGCACTGATTTTGATTCACCTGGAAAAAATTAAGTGAGAGAAGCCAAACATGATGAATGTGGAACTATAAATAAACTTAAGCCTAATTTACCTAAACAAACACAACCATCTAAAACATAAAACAAGATGACTATTGAATTAGGTAGGAATCTGGTTCATTTTATTTAAAAATGCATCCAAATTTGAGATTTTCCAGTTCACTTGTAAGTCTTCAGCTTTTTGTCCATGTATCTTATCATTTGAACACTGCTTTCCTCTCCAGAAATTATGTATATTCATGCTTATTGTAAGAGAAGTTATAATACAAAGTAAAACAGAGTTTTAAGGAATTAGTAAAGCAGTCAGGTTGTATAACTCTTAGAGGAATACACTAAGGGAGTACTTACAGAGACAAGTGGAAATAATCACAGACAAGCAGAAGACATAGAAGATTTGCAGATGAAGAATTGATATATGCAGGTGCCAATTCAGCACAAACTTCCCAATCCCCTATTCTCTGAGGCTTTAGAGTTTTACCCTGGAGATCTTGTTAGTACATTTATGAAAATTTTAGCAGTTCTCCAAATTGCAAACTTTATTACAGGTCATGCTTTTAAACATCCATATGTTGCATATTTTGTAGGAAGGAAATGAATTGAAACAAGAGGAGCTGAACCCTACATGTTTTGAAAATAAAAAAGCAATAAAGAAAACACGTGCTAGCCATTACAGATGTTTGCACAAATTAGAAGCCCCACTGATTTTTAGAGATTCTAGGTCAGCACAAATGAAATATCACATTAGAGATAGTTTTCCCCTTGAGGAAATTTTGTACTAAACAGCTGACCTGATAACTTGTACTTTACCATAAGCAATTATTAAATATTTATGGATGTGTGTTACCAGGAATAGAACTGTTTGTGCAAAAACAAGTTTATTGATACATCATGTTATTAGAAATATATTACTAATAAAAATTATAAAATTTTAATCTTATTCATAATTATTTTGTTTCTTCCTTTATTTTTTTCCTTTTAATGTCAATCTTTCCCACATTTATTTCTTTATCTCTTTTTTTACATTTGTGCCCTACAATAACGTTTTCACTATGTGATAAATAAATACGGGAAAATGAGCCCTGGCTGGTGTTTCTCAATGTTTAGAGTGTCTGCCATGCACCTAAGGGTCATGGGTTAGATTCCTGATCAAGGGCACATTACCTGGGTTGCAGGTTTGATCTCTAGCACCACTCCTACAGGAGGTAACCAATTGATGTGTCTCACATGGATTTTCTCTCTCTCTCTCTCTCTCTCTCTCTCTCTCTCTCTCTCTCTAAAAGGCAATGGAGCCTGGCCAGCATGACTCAGTGTTTGAGCACTGACCTATGAACCTGGAGGTCACGGTTCAATTCTCCGCCAGAGCACATGCTCGGGTTGCGGGCTCCATCCCCAGTGTGGGGAATGCAGGAGGCAGCTGATCAATGATTCTCTCTCATCATTGATGTTTCTATCTCTCTCTCCTCCCTTCTTCTCTCAAATCAATAAAAATATATTTTAAAATAATAATAAAAAGTTAAAAGCAATGGAAAAAATATCCTTGGGTGAAGATTAACTACAACAAAAAAAGAAAATGAAAATGTTAGTTGTGTTCAAATTTTATAGCAAAACTTAAAGACTGGGCTTGCAGATGACTTAATAAAGAAATTTAAAAATGCCCCCAAAGATGCTTGACTTTATCTAATATAAACAACTGCATTCAAAATAATGGGAAAAGAATACAGAGAAGGAAAATTTCCATGTATAATAACAGCAACACTGATACTAATTAAGAATAGGCCCATACTTTAGTAGATCCACAACTAGAAAAACAAAACATGGAACTATTTCACAGGAGATAAAATCTAAGCTCTCACACATTTACACGGAATTCGATATCTAAGTAAACTGTCTGAAAGCAAACCCTGTAAAGCATCATTAAACTTTGAATTGACACTGAGGTGAAGTAAAATTAAATAGGCAACCCAAAGAGGGTCCGAAGGGTTTGTTTTGAACACTGCTAAAAACAATCTGGAAGAAACTTAAAAACACGGTGGCATCGGCAGCGTAATTTTGTATCTTCCTGAATGCCCATGTTAAAACATCCAGAGTAACTAGAGAGAAAGATCCAAAATCTACAATAAAGCAAGATATCTCCTAAATACCAACGGGGGTGGGGGGGGGACCACGAACAGTTACAAGACCTATATGTTTTCTTATCTGCTCAGGAGAAAGCAAAGGGAAACGATCAGGCATCTGACATGATAATAAGTGGAGAATCCTTAATGGATAGTCACTGCAATACAAGGGGTTCATTGTGCTAGTGGGTAAATGCCGGGCATATTAGCCATAGAGGGACAGGGGCAATCTAGCTTCCAGGAACTGGTGACACTGAGCCCTCAGACATGCCTTTCAGAGCAGGCCTCCACACTGAGAGAGGATGGGGACAACAGGCACAAAAGAAGCAGATGGTCCAGGTAAAGGTAGGAGCAGGTTACAGAGCTAAGGAAGCTCAGAACACAATATTTTTTTAAAACACTTCATAGATACAACATAAGAGGGAGATTTGTGAAGCTGGAAAAACCATGTGAGCCAAACTTTCTTCTAAAGTTCAGAAAAAAGAAACTCACATAAAGGAAACAACAGAGAATATTAAAAAAAAATCAAAGACAAAGCTCAATTAAAATCACTGTAATAGAAAAATGTTTCAAGGAGTATTACTTTCTTAGAGAAAATAACAGCTTCAAAAAGACAATCCCCTGAAACAATTCCAAACAAGCTGAGGTGCTCAACAAAGATATAAGATATGAAAAAGCAAGATAAATCAGAATTACAAAGTCAAACAGAGATAATAAAACTAAAGAAAAAATAAAAATTTAGAAATTACAAATGCAGAAGAAACAGATCCCACTGCTGCTGGTTGCCTCCCTCTGCTGGGCTGGCCTGGGCCCTGCGGGCTGGGGGCAGCTCCTGTGTTGAGCGTCTGCCCCCTGGTGCGCATCATAGTGAATGGTCCGTCCACCCGTCGTTCTGCCATTTGGTCGATTTGCATATGAGGCTTTTATTATATAGGATATGTAAATTATTAAGAAAACATACACTTTCCCTACAACAGAGAAACTTGCTACTTGTTTTCCTTGCCTAGTTCTCATTTATCATTTGGTATATAGTTGCCTAAGTGCGAGTGGAAACTTCTGTGCATTTTCAAGGTCAGCAGAGCCCAATATGGGGAGTTAGGTGTACTTTGGAGGCAGCGATGGGGCATAATTCTGGTCCCAAAGTTTACCTCAGAGACACTCAAAGATATCGGATACCCACTGTATATGTATACCTCAATGAAACCAGATCTAGAGAGAAGAAATTTAGACACAATATTCTCCTCGAATCATATTAGTTTTCTGTAGGTATTTCTAGAAATGTTTACCCTGGGTGAAACAGATACGGCTAAGTTTCCTCAGACTGTGCGATCTTATGGCCTGTTTACATGATAACCTGGCCAGTGGTGTATGGCTGACTGAGGCAGTTACAATAGATGAAAATATCCAATTGGCTCCTGGTGAGTCCTGGAGCGTTGTGGGAATGTGCAGCTACGGAATAGAGTCTAGAAGGCAGGGCAAAGTTCTGCGCGAGGTCTTTCCCCAGCAAGCACAGCTCCCGTGGCAGGTGGTTATTGACCCCTGGAGGGGGAGAGTCGGGAACCTGCTACCATGAGTAGAGGAGTACAGCAGTCGGCATCCTAGGGATGTCTGCCATTCCAGGGCTTTTAAATGAGTGCTTATGTCACAGCCTCTGCCACCACTTGCTTAAGTTCTCTTTCTCTTTCTTCAGCGATAAGCTGTCTCCACTTGGCAGGAAGTCTGAGTGCACACAAAGTGATTTTGGAAATCACTAGTTATCTTAATGTCAGCAATAAACAGTCATCCAAACTCTCCTCTTTCTCACAAATCTGAACACTCCGTTAGATAACTGTAAGGTGACAGTAAACAGAAGCTGAGCCTTTTACTTCTCTTAGTCCAGGGTCCTTGTCTTTCTCCTCAGTGTGATCCAGGTTATTTAGAATTCATGCTCATAAGGGAAAATATCAGCCCTTGTCTTATAGCTCTTAGACACTAGATGGCAGCATTGCTCTTTATCTTCCAAAGAAAGGGACTCATGGCATAGTAGCCTCTTTCAGACAGAATATCTTGCCTTCACAGAATCTTACCAGACAGGGCTTGCCACGAACTCTCTGGCTAGCTATGATATAGCTCCTGTTGTTTAAAGTTATATGATTACTACTCTTCTTATCTAAACAGCAATATTTTTATAGAAAAATTATAAAGGCAAAAAAAGAAAGTATCTGTCAAGCCTTGTTAATATTATGGAATGTTATTAGCACTAATCAGCTTCAAATATAGCTAAGAATGCCAAGCACCTTTGAAAACTTGATGAAGAGCAGATTTAATATAAGTAACAGATTCAAGAAAGCATTGTACATGTGTATCAAATATATTCATTTATATATATATATGTCTCATTTATACTATGTATTGTGTATAGTGTGTGTGTGTGCGTGTGTGTATTTTAAACTATGGATCTTTAAGAAACCTTATAAAATAGAAAGCTACATTTAAGCATTTTGTTTTCAGCAGAAAGCAAAAGCAGCACCAGAATATCTTGGAACAAAATTTGCCAATACCTTTGTACCTGAAGCCACATGGTCGCTCTCGATTGGCAGGTCAAGCCTTTATATCAGCATGACTTGATCAAGGGGCTAAATTTATCTACAGTATTTGTCACCCACTTGAGTGTATATACACTCATGTACACTTTACAGGCACCATGATTCAATTTATTACCAGGAGAGGCTTAGACCCTTCTGTAGGCAGTTGTACAAAAAGAAGCAAGTGTGAAACCTACCTTATGGCCTAATATGTTAGTTTTCATCTTTCCCCCACAAGCGCTGTTGTTAATTCTAGCTCTTAGTGTGTGTTACATAATTTAAGTTAGGAAATATATATGGTGTGAAATAATTTCCCTTAACTTAAAAGAAAATTTTTAAAAATTGACAATCAGTGAGGTTGATAATGAACAAGAATAATCAAAGTCATACAATTTAGGCATCTACTGTTAACCACAGTAACAACTGCTTAGTAATTTAGATTCATTTGTCAAAAATGCATAAAAAGTCACTCAAATGCAAGAAAATATATACCTAATTTTAATTACATTATCCTATAAGCATCACTAGTAAAAAGTTATTTTAAAAAAGGATTCAGAAATTAATTTCTAGTAAAATATTTATGTAGAGAAACAGATATACCAACAAATGTATTTCTAATATTTAAACAGTCATGGGGAGAAAGTATTGAAAAACTTTTTATAAAATATTTCATATTTTTATATATTTCTACTTCTCCTTTTCTGAACCACACAATCCATGTCATGCATATTACAAAAAATGTTTTTTCACATATTCGGCAATAAAATAGTCACTCATTCTAAGTAAAAGCAGAATGCTTGCATCGTTTACTTTTACACTGGTAGCTAATTGAATACAAAAACAAATGAAAAGTTATTTAATGGGATTAGATCAGCGTTGGTTGGGTGGTGAGGGCCTTTCATTCTTTTCTATTTCTACTTGAGCACATTTATTTTGCACCTAGGAAACACACTTATACGGTATCAGTTATTTACCAAGGGCGTTTGAAAATCTGAGTGAATCGTATTTCTGATTCTGTCTTCATTCATGGTGTCGGGTTCAGAATGAGCCACCCAGGATGTGTCCCTATGGTACGCAGATTGTTTTGCACTAAAGGTAACTGAGACACAGTGGGCTCAAGAGAAACTTCTGCTTCCCCATCTTATCTATCTAGAAGAATTTAAATCAGAAGCCTGACCCACAACAAGAGTTATCACCAGAACTGACGTTTTACCTATTTATGTAGCAGGGAAACTTTACAAAATATCTGCCCTTCTTATCATCCTGCAATGACCCTTTGACACCCCCAAGGTGCATTACTGTAGCCCTGGCTCAGAGTGTCTTATATGCATACCCCCCGCCCCCCCTTCCCCGTTTCCTTTCTGTCTCTGAACCTCTTGAGTATCTGGAGCCCTGCCCTCACCTGGGAGCTGTCTGTGAAGGCCCACACCCTGCCCCCCACCCCCACCCCCTGCCCCCCCACTTCCCTGGCAATGCCTCAACCCTTCTCCCCTCAATGCCTCAATCCTCTCTGCCCCCCAATGTCCCAACGCCCTCTCCACTCCCCACCCCCCACCCCCAGGCAGGGACAGAACAATTGTGTGGTAAATGTATGGATTTGAGATGTCCTGGGGTGCCAGGTGTGGAGCCACACCCTGAGGAAGTCATTGTCCCTGTGGCCCGGACCTGCCCCTGTTGGGAGCCAGCAGCCAAGTCCGGTTGAATGTCCAAGAAGCTACCATGGAAAGGGCAGGGTGGCCACGGCCCGCTGTGTGCTGTGTGCCCATCCCTGCAAATGTGTGTGCCCAGTGCCCTGAATCCTACCCTGTTGGTGTCTTGTCCTGGCTCTTGGGGGTGGGAGAGCCAGGGCTGTTCAGGATTCTGCGTTTAATTTATTCAAGGTGAAAAATGAAGCCAGAAAAAGCCTTGTGGGACAGAAGATGGTGGCGGTCCCCAGGTCCAGATGTTGGGAGCATGAAGGTGTTAGAAGGCTGCCAGGAGGAGGCCCCTGCCACCCTGTCACTCCGGCTTTTGCTAAAGGTCAGGAGGGCAGGATCCCCGCTGAGGGCACAGAAGCCCCTCCCCTGGGGATTTCCTCGGCCACAGCCATCAGGGTTTCCTTTCCAGGCCCCTGTCACTGTTACGTCCCTCTGGGGCTGCTCTTGTAACCACTGACTTTCCCCTTCCCCTTCGGTAAACAAGCGTTTTCTAAAGAAGTGGTTGCCAGTGGCTTCGCAGAAACCCGTTTCATTGTGGTGTCTGCACCCCTTGCATTTTGCCAAGCCCGTTGGCTGTTGGAGGCCGAAACCCATGTCTCGATGCCCGGGGAGCTCCTCTCCCCGCTGTTACTCTCCCAGAGAGGGAGTCGGGACCCCAAACCCCTCCTCACAGCTGCACCCCGCAAGGTCTCTCCTAAAGCCCCTTCCCCGGGGTCTTTCTCATTAAGGACTTGGGTGCGGCTGGATGAACGAACGTGTGTTGGGTGCATGAGCACGAATAATCATAGGAGAGGGTTACCGGGCACCCCTAAGCGGCCAAGCAGGACATGCAGACCCTGCTTCCAAAGAAACGGGCTTGCGAGGCTGCTGCTCTAACGGGGAAGGTGGACCCCCCCCCCCTTCACTCATTCATTCACCCATTCGCTCGCCCAACATCTGCTCATCAGCGATGCTAGTGCCGCAAGGGGGGCCCAGCCTCCGGTGGGGGGAAGGCACTAGGGCACAGAGTCAGACACAGGCACCCTATCTGTTGGGTCAGTACTGGGCCAGAGCGAGGGACCCCAGGGCTGGGGGGAAAGTCCCCAGAGCCCACTGCCTTCCTAATCCGCCCTTCGGGGAGCTCCTGAAAGTGAACACGTGAAATGTGGAGCTTTAATCATCCTCCCCGGTGCCCCCATATTTGCCCCGCCCCTGAGCCCAACTCTCAAGTGGACCGTCACTGTGGCCGCCCCTTCCGCACGCCTCCCGCCCTGG